TTCACCTAGCATTAAATAGGTACCTGAGAGTTAGACAGCGGCTACGGGTTCTTCCTGGGGATGTGTGTTTGTGTTTTTAGAGAGAAATATACGTAGTAGACATAATAGAGGAATAGATTGGTTTGAAAGGCGGGGTCCAAGAGCTAATAGCTCGATTATGCAGACACTATTAGTAAATATTACTGAGTATTTATAGAAGTAGAATACACAATCGACTTGAGAATGGTCTAGGACGGACCGAAACGTCGTCGTCCCTTCACCTTCTAGTGTGTGGTCTGGTCTACAACTGAGTAATTGTCTCCCAGATGAAGACGAGGAGTCACAATAATGTATGTGAAGATCTGATGACCAAATCATCAAATGACCATCAGAAAAAAAATGGAGAAAGGACGACGTTTCGGTCCATCCTGGACCATTACACGACTCGATAATGGTCCAGGACGGACCGAAACGTCGTCGTTCCTCCATTTTTTTCTGATGTGTGGTTGTGGTTATCATGTGTGTTTCAGGTAGGTGTATACACACACCTGTATTATTCTGTTCCAGGTACACACCTGCATTATTAAATGAACAAATCCACAAGGGCCGTGACGAGGGTTCGAACCTACGTCCGGGACGATCCCAGACGCTGCCTTAATCGACTGAGCTACGACATGGTTAAAAGAATTGCAACCGGGCAATCATCCTGATTTACCACGGTTCCTGCAGGGCTCTCAGATACACAAACTAGGGTTTTACGCAATTCCCCCCCCCCCCCCCCCCCCCCCATGCACCCTGCGTAAAACGCTGGTTTGTGTCTCGGAGAGACTGCAGGAACCGTGGTAAATCAGGATGATTTCCCCGGTTGCAATTCTTTTAACCACGTCGTAGCTCGGTCGATTAAGGCAGCGTCTGGGATCGTCTCGGACGTAGGTTCGAACCCTCGTCACGGCCCTTGTGGATTTGTTCATTTGATGCATCACGCTGTTGTGATTTGTGTGTGACCTGCATTCTTCTCTCCCAGGTAGGTAACACACACACACACACACACACACACACACACACACACACACACACACACACACACACACACACACACACACACACACACACACACACACACTCACACTCACTGCCTCACATGTCAAGACGATAAGAAGTTGACGCCTGTTTTCTCAAGACGGTGCAGGACAGTTTTACAAGATTGCGACATCAACGCTCCTCTCTCCCCCTCCCTCTCCTCCACTCTCCCCTCCCTCTCCTCCACTCTCCCCCCCCCCCTCCCTCTCCTCCACTCCTCTGAGGTTCTCACTTCATGCAGGTTGGCGTTCAATCCCCGACCATCCAAGTGGTTGGGCACTATAAGGATTTGGGATGGCCCGCCGTCCCATCCCAAATCCTTATTCTGATCCCTGCCAAGTGCTATACCGCCGTAAAGGCTTGGCACTTTATCCTAATGATTCCATTCCCTCTCCTCTTCCTCTCTGCCCCCCTCTCCTTTCACCCCCTCCCCCCCCACTCCCTTCCCGCCTCTCCTCTATCCCCTCCCACACATACACTTTCCTTGTGATGACTTAAGATACGGTGAGACTTAGGGTGAGGTGGGACTTGAGAGGTGGCCTGCGCGGTAGCGCCTTCGGCTGGAGGCGCCGCTCCCACAGCAATCTTCAGCAATAAACTCTCCTGGCTGATGAGGCTGTGAAGCCCTCGACCGGGGGCCCCCCTGACACAGGGGCCCCCAGGGTCCCTCTGACACAGGGGCCCCCAGGGTCCCCCAGGGTCCCGCTGACACAGGTGTTAATCCAGGAGGGAGAGAGACAGTAAACGCCATACACATCGCCACCTCGCGCTTCCGTTCTTCCCGCGGCCGTCGCCGGCAGCGCCAGCCGCTCTTCTTCTGTTGTTGTTG